CAGTAGAGGAAGAACAAAAAAATTGTATCGAGACAGTCTTGCGATAGAACTAACTGAACTGACTATAACTATATATATATATATATATATATATATACAATATATTTCATGTGTATATATTATGTGTTAGATATATATATTTTATTATATATATATTTATATATGTATGTATGTATGTATGCATGCATGTATGTATGTATGTATGTATGTATGTATGTATGTATGTATGTATGTATGTATGTATATATGTATGTATATATATGTGTATGGATGCCCATGACCACCACAATAATGTTGTCTATGTGTTGGCGTCGACAACACAACGTTAACCGAAACAACAACCAAGCAGCCACAGCCAGGCAGCCAGCCAGCCAGTCAGCCAACCAACCAACGAACCATCTATCTATCTATTCTATCCATCCCGTCTAGGCCTCACTTGTGCTGTTTTAGTGCTCTTGTACTTTTGTGCCATTTGCGAGTTCTAACTTCGAGCTGTTGTGTGTATAGCAGGGAGTTGTTGTTGAGTTCTTAATACGCTTCAAAGGTTCTTCTTTAGTACGATCGGGATTTTTATGTTGTGTGCTCATTTGAAGCGCTTTAACATTTTTTTTCGTCTACTTCTGTCTTCTTTTTAGCTGAAAACGTTTGCGTTTTACGTTCGTTATATATTGTATTAGTTGATTATAAAAATTTGTGATCGCGTCGTGTGATCGGTTAAAAAGAAAAAAAAAAAAATTAACGAAAGATATAAAGGAATAAACAACAAAAATAAAAAAATAATAAATGGCAAAATATCATTAGTGATCAATCCTTTAAATCAACTTAACTTTCTAATGGACTTTCCTTTAAAATGAAAATCTTTTAACGATAATTGTACTGCAAGAAACGTTTTATGTTTATTCTCGTACTCTTCACACACATATATATATATATATATATATATATGTATATATATTTATATCTATATATATATTTACTGCGTTGGTGTTGACGGTTAATTCTTTCTTTTTTTTTTATTTTTTTTATTTTTTTGGTAATCCTGTCTTTGAACCTATTTACGCAAGTTCCAGCAACTTTGGTGGTGGTTAAATCGGTGCTTGTATTTTGTGTGATCATTGTCTCTCTTTGGATATACAACGTGACACCCATATACACGCACACACATACACCTATAAGCGCCCTCAAACCAATTACTGAAATCAAACACGGAAGTGAATTTTATTTACAAATTTAAATATAAACAAATATAT